AAGTGCCTTGAAGATATTTATTTATTTATTTTCTAAAATATCATGGATTTGAACCGCTAAAGTACGCTTGATTTGTGTTTTGATGGCATACAGCAGCAAGGTAAACCAGTTTAACTATTCAATTTTGTCCTGTGTATGATTTGACTGATTTTTTATTTTCCAGTGTGATTGGCCGGTTCATCGCCATTTGATCATGGCATGGTCAACAAAACAGTGTTTATATATTACCACAGACAAACAGACGTAACACTTAATTATGTATCTTCGTTCACGCATTTAACGGTTGATTTGAATATTATCAGTTCCGCGAACTACTCGCCGCAGCGCTGATATCGGATCACTTTGACGTTTCTATACATTCTATAGAACTTTCATGCAATATTGTTTGCGAGTTAGCGAGAAAGCTTGTTTTCCGCGAGAAGCCCGAGAGATGTCGTTACTGAGGTCCTATGTTTTCAAGAAAAAAAAATCAAAGAGTTACGTCTGTTTGTCTGTGATATTACGAAGCATGTATGATATAAGAATAATCATGCCGGACAGCAGGTGTAAGAGCCTACTATGATTTTTTTCGAGCTTCAGGATCTTGTGAACAGAACTATAAAACTTCAGAACATTTTAGGCTGTGAACCATTTGCCGAGTTAAATTTAACTCGTGGTTAAAAGTGACATTACGAAAGTTATTCTGTATGTTCGAAAATCCCTGTGCTGTCGATCGACCGGTTTTCAAGAAGAACTCAGCCACGATTTTCAAAATTTAACTTCTAGTCTGTTAGAAATAACCACGCTCGAATAACAGGGTTAATCGATAACTTTTCATCTGTCAAATTTTAACCAAGAGTTAAAAAAAATCCGTCAAATGGTTCAGAGCCTTATAGATCTTCAGATTAGTGTTCAAATAAATTATCAAAATTTCAAGCTAGCTAAAATATTATCAGATCAATTTATAAAACTATAAGGATAATTTTGCAAATCTTCAGGGAAATTCACAAAACTTCAGACAAGTCCAAGAATCTAGTGAATGTAAAGATTTTCACAGAAGTTTGAAGATCTACTGATAAATTATTGAACATCAGAAAAGTTCGAAGATCTTCAGAAAAAATACAGAACTTCTGAAAAAATCACAAGAATGGTCCAGAAAGTGCAGATTTTCTGAAACATTTTTAATGGATCTTCAGGGAAGCCCGAGAGCCTACAGAGGAATTCACAAAACTTGAGAGAAGTTTGCAGATCTACTAAGACATCTAGTAGTATCTATAGTATAGAACTATGGAGCTTCAGGCAACTTTATAGAATTTTAAAGATATTTGCAGAACTTCAAAAGAGTAGATATTAAGGAATTTTGCTGATCTTCAGAGACATTCAGAAGTTCAGCAAAAATGTGAGATCTTCAGAAAAATTCGTAAAAATTTTAAGAAAAGTACTTCAATTACAAAACCAAATCTCAGTGAAGTACGAAAGTTCAAGATTTTGCAGAACTCCATGGAAGTTGGAAGTGGATAGATGTAGTAGGCCTTGCCTGACTGTCATAAGTTAGAGATTGGTTCTTTATCCGACCATCAACCAAGATAGACGTAATAAATAGTAGCTCTTAACAACAGCTTGTTTTACTTGTTGGCCTTGGTTACGGATATTACAATTGGCGACGAGAAAAATTTTGGAAGCACCTTGAACCTCGAAGCAAGAAACCTCAAGTAAGAAAATGTCTGACGAGGATCTTCGGAACGCCATCCTGCAGCTAACGAATCTCATCACGAGGCAGCAGCAGCAGATTGAAAACCTGGAAAATCGGGGAAATCCGACTGCAGTCCAAGGCAGTGAGAAGATTATTGAGTCCTTGGCAAGCGGGATCCAGGATTTCCAGTACGATCCGGACGGAGGAGTTTTCTTCAATGGCTGGTATGCGAGCTGTCCAAGCTCACACCGGACCAATTTAAAGCTCTCCGCTTCGTCTGTGGACTCCAATCGCCACGGGATGCGGACATACGAGCTAGGTTGATCTCGAAATTGGAAGCCGACGAAACCGCAGTCAACGAATTGGGAGAAGCCACCAGCAAGGTAACCCTGGAGAACCTCGTGGAAGAATGCCATCGCGTGGCCAATCTCAAGCAGGACACATTGATGGTGGAGAACAAAGAAGCACACAACGTTAACATTTTTTCTCGCAACCAGAATAATCCTGCCTCAAAAAAGAACCAAAAAGTGCCGAAAACGCCATGTTGGAAGTGTGGCGACCAGCAAGTGAGTGTCCGTTCGCTTCGCACACCTGTTCAAGATGCAAGCAACAAGGACACAAGGAAGGTTATTGCAACAGCAACAAGAATGCGCCGTCGAAACCGTTCAAACAGGCCAAATCCAAAGAGAACGTGAAGACAAAAAGCATCTACACGGTTCGCAACATCGGAAGCAAGCGGAAGTTGATCCCGGTCGAGCTCAATGGTGTAGCAGTCAAACTTCAACACGACTCGGCGTCCGACATCACCATAATCTCAGAAGAAACATGGATCAGCATCGGACAGCCACCCACTCAACCGACGGAAGACTCTGCAGTTACAGCAACTGGTGGCAATCTCAACCTTCTCGCTGAGTTCCAGACCGAGATCACCATCAAGAATGTTACCAAGACTGGTCGCATTTTCATCTCAAGCAGCGCTGAACTCAACGTTCTAGGAATCGAGACTATGGATCTGTTCGATTTGTGGTCTGTGCCGATAAGCAGCTTAGTCAACGTCGTACACCAACGTTCTGATCAGTTCACCAATCAACTCAAGCAACAGTTTCCGGAAGTTTTTCGAAGCACGCTGGGTAGATGCACAAAAGCGCAAGTGAAGTTATACCTCAAGCCTGACGCACGTCCTGCATATTGCCCGAAACGACCAGTAGCGTACGCTGCACTCGCCAAGGTGGACGCAGAACTTGAGAGGCTCCAGCAAAACGGTATAATTTCTCCAGTTCAATTCTCGGACTGGGCAGCACCAATAGTCGTCGTACGCAAGTCGGACAATGTATCAGGTCGTGTATGTGGCGATTATTCGACGGGGCTGACGACCTCTTTGCGGAGCTAGCTGGAGCACGTTACTTCACTCATCTCGATTTGTCTGACGCTTACCTACAGGTCGAGGTCGAGAAGGAATCGCGAAAGCTACTCACGGTCAACACGCATCGTGGACTGTTCCAGTATTACCGACTACCACCCGGAGTCAAGTCGGCACCTGGCGCTTTCCAGCGCATCATCGACAGCATGGTGGCCGGCATCCCTGGAGTCAAGCCGTGTTTGGACGACATCCTCATCGCTGGTCGCACCAAGCAGGAACACGATCGCAGTCTCTACGCTGTTCTCGAGCAGATCCGTGAGTATGGCTATGGTTACGCCTCGAAAAATGTCCTTTCGCACTCTCCCAGATCAAGTTTCTCGGACACATCGTGGATAAGGACGGTATTCGGCCTGATTCTTCAAAAACAGAAGCCATTTCCAAGATGCAGTCTCCGAAGGATGTCCAGCAACTCCGTTCCTACCTCGGTGCTGTCAACTACTGTGGTAGATTCGTTAAGCAGATGAAGCAACTCAGGGCTCCTCTGGACAGCCTCCTCAAGAAAGATGCACGCTGGAACTGGACCAAGGATTGCCAGAAGTCTTTCGAGCAGCTGCTTACACACTACTACCCGTCCAAGGAAATCGTTGTTGCAGCAGATGCATCGAAGTACGGCCTTGGCGCTGTCATCATGCATCGATTCCCGACCGGTGAAGTGAAGGCAATTGCGCACGCCTCGCGCTCACTGACCCCAGCAGAGATGAACTACGGACAAGTGGAGAAGGAAGCATTGGCCCTGACATTCGCTGCCACCCGTTTCCACAAAATGCTGTATGGACGACACTTCCTCCTGCAGACCGATCATCAACCGCTACTCAAGGTTTTCGGCTCAAAGAAAGGTATTCCTGTTTACACCGCAAATCGTTTGCAGAGCTGGGCCTTGACACTTCTGCTGTACGATTTCGACATCCAACACGTTTCATCGACGAATTTTGGCTATGCACACGGAGAAAAAATACTACCCAAAATATGAGTTCTTTTTACTTAATATTGACTTCAGCCTCTCACTTGCACTCGTTATTGTTGTCAAAAAAGGAACGAGAGATTCGACCCAACGATATAGTTCATCCCAATAAGTTACTTCTGAGTAAATTGCATATTCTTAAATTTACGTGAATTAAACTTAATTTTGGGTAGAATAAACTTAAGAGTAGGTAATTTTTTTGCCGGTGTTAAATTGAAACTACTATATGCGATTTACTCAAATTTGGGTTATTGGGCTGAACCCCAGAATTGAGGGAAAAGTACTTAATTTTGGGTAGTTTTTCATTTCCGTGCAGATTTTCTATCCCGGCTAATGTCATCGTAGCATAGACCAGATGAGGATTACGTCATAGCCGCCGTGTGCGTCGAATCTGAAACAAAAGCAATTCTCGACGACACCATCAGCAACCTTCCAGTCACGCACCAGATGATTGTGGCTGAGACGCGAAAGGATCCAGTTCTTCAGCAAGTGGTGAATTTCCTTAACGAAGGTTGGCCAGCAAATGCGAAGCAAGTTGCTGGTCCTGATGTCAAGAAGTTCTTCGCCAGACGAGATGGACTTCAAGTTGTCGACAACTGCGTTATGTTCGGCGATCGAATCGTCGTCCCATCAAAGTTTCGAAAGCGGATCGTTCGTCAACTGCATCGTGGACACCCAGGAATGGACCGAATGAAGTCTACTGGCCTAACGTTGACGACGATGTGGAGCAATTTGTCCGTCAGTGCACTGCATGTGCTGAAGCAGCGAAGTCCCCGACAAAAGCAACCTTGGAGTCATGGCCCCTCCCGGACAAGCCATGGCAACGTGTCCATATCGATTTTGCTGGTCCGATCCATGGATACTACTATTTCGTCATGGTAGATGCTTTCTCTAGGTGGCCCGAAATTTTTCGCACTCAATCCATTACCACAACTGCAACCCTGAATATGCTGCGTGAAACGTTTTCTCGTTACGGCAACCCAGACACATTGGTCTCAGACAACGGAACGCAATTCACCAGCGAGCAGTTTCAACAGTATTGCCGTGCAAATGGTATCACCCATCTCCGCACTGCTCCCTACCACCCGCAGTCCAGCGGCCAAGCGGAGCGATTCGTTGATTCACTCAAGCGTGGCCTCAAGAAGCTAGCCAAGGGGGAAGGATCACCCACACTGGAGCACCTGCGGACATTCCTTTCGGTGTATCGTTCAATCCCAAATCGAAACACACCACAGTCGACGTCTCCAGCAGATGCATTCCTCGGAAGACCAGTGCGCACCACTTTGGACCTACTGAAGAAACCTGTTCCTGTAACTGAAGCTGTCAAGAACCACAAACAAAACGAACAGTTCAATTGGCGGCATGGAGCAGTCAAGCGCGAGTTTGAAGAAGATGACCTGGTCTACGTTGAACAGCACCGCAGAAACGCCAAATCCTGGATTCCTGGTCGAGTCATTGAACGGAAAGGTTCCGTCAACTATATCGTTGCACTGGACATGAACGGGAGACCGAAGCTGGTGAGGTCGCATGTAAACCAAATGCGCCCTCGTCACACTTCTGATGATCCAGAGCAAGCGACGCAGCAACTACCATGGGAAATCCTGCTTGATGAAATTCAAGATAAAGCTGTACCGTTGGATCCAGAAGTGCCAATCAATCACGATGTCCCTATTCCTGTTGGTTCCGTATCACTCGAAGCTGATGGTTAAGTGGCAAGTACGTCTGCCAAAAATCCTTTTTCGACAATCGATCATGAACCTGCTGCTCAAGATGGAGAACTTCAGTCCGCACAAAAGCCCGTGTCATCTGAAGCAGTTGGAGACTTTATTCGACGTTCTGTACGAGAATCAAGAATTCCAAGATGGCTCTCTTCCTATGACATTTTCTAAAAGGGGGAGATGTAGTTGGCCTTGCCTGACTGTCATAAGTGAGAGATTGGTTCTTTATCCGACCACCAACCAAGATAGACGTAATAAATAGTAGCTCTTAACAACAGCTTGTTTTACTTGTTGGCTTTGGTTACGGATATAACAATAGATCTGAAGAACTTCAGACAAGTCCGTAGACTAAGGTATGCAGAACTTCAGGAAGTTCGTGCATTTTTAGAAAAAAATGCATAACTTTAGCAAAACTTACAGAACTTTGGGAAAGTTCGTCGATCTATAAAGGGTGATACGGTCAAAATTTGGTCAAGGGAAAACGCGTGTAAATCGGTGAAATCGTTTATTTAAAAAATCAAATTAAATTTCTTTTTCAAGTTCAATTAGTATAAAATTCAGGAAAAACATTCAGTTAGGCTTCCGCTTTTCCAAATCCGAATTGCCGGGCCTTACGCTTGACCCCTGCCATCAGATTTTGTACAGCCACCTTGTCCACCTTTTTCGCCGCAGAAAGCCAGTTTGCCTTGAACTGCTGCTCGCCCTTAGCAGTTTTTTTGGTCTTCTTTAGGTTCCGCTTGACAATAGTCCAGTATTTCTCAATTGGGCGGAGCTCTGGCGTGTTGGGAGGGTTCTTGTCCTTGGGAACCACCTGCACGTTGTTGGCGGCGTACCACTCCATGGCCTTTTTACCGTAATGGCAAGATGCCAAATCCGGCCAAAACAGTACGGAACAACCGTGTTTCTTCAGGAAAGGCAGCAGACGTTTATTCAAACACTCTTTCACGTAAATTTCTTGGTTGACAGTCCCGGAAGCTATGAAAATGCTGCTTTTCAAGCCACAGGTACAGATGGCTTGCCAAACCAGATATTTCTTTGCGAACTTTGACAGTTTCATGTGCTTGAAAACATCTGCTACCTTTCCCCTTCCTTTTGCCGTATAAAACTCCTGTCCCGGAAGCTGCTTGTAGTCGGCTTTTACGTAGGTTTCGTCGTCCATTACCACGCAGTCAAACTTCGTCAGCATCGTCGTGTACAGCCTCCGGGATCGCGCTTTGGCCGTCGTATTTTGTTTATTATCGCGATTTGGAGTCACTACCTTCTTGTAAGTCGATAGTCCGGCTCGTTTTTTGGCTCGATGCACGGTTGTAGACGATACACCCAGCTTATTTGCGGCATCTCGGAGAGAGAGGTTAGGGTTTTGCTTGAAACTACCGGCAACTCTCTTTGTCGTCTCAGCGGCTTCCGGTTTTCGATTTCCCCCCGATCCAGACTTCCTGGCTGTCGACAAACGTTCCCCAAACACTTTAATTACATTTGTAACGGTTGATTTCTTGCTTGGACGGCATTTTCACAACTGAAGAGTGAATTCCAAAATCAAAATAGGAGCAACATTCTACACACACACACCTTCAAAATGAGGGGTGTTCAGGTTTTTTAAATGCAAAATTGAAAGAAATACGTCAAGTTGATATTGACCAAATTTTGACCGTATCACCCTTTAGAAGTATTTACACTGCTTCAGAGAAACTCGTATTCAGCGAAGCTCAAATATTTTCAGATAATTTGTAGAGCTTTGGGAAATTTTAAAGAATTTCAGATGAATCTGCGGAACTTTATGGAAGTCCACAAAGAAATTTACAAAACTTTTAGAAAAAGTTTGGAGATCTACTGAGAAAACTTCAGGGCAGTGCGTAGATCTTCTGGGCAGAAAAAGAGTACTTCATAAAACTTAAGGAAAGGAACTTTGGAAATGTTCAGAGAGTAGATCGTAAATCTACTGAAAAATCTGCAGATGTTTATATAGATTTTCAGAATTTTATTGAGGTTCTTGAATTTTAAGATAAATTTACAGAACTTCAGGGAAGTTCGCTGATCTCTAGAGATATTTGAACAACTTCAGAAAAAATAGTAGACCTTCAAAAAACTTCCAGGAAGATTTTTTTTAATACTTTAGGGAATTGTGTAGATGTTCAGAGATATTTGCAGATATTCATTGAATCATAAAAATCTACAAAGAAAATTACAGAACTTTCGAGAAGTTTGTAGATTATTAGAAATCTAGTGAACATCAGAGATAATTGTTGACTTTAAGGATCTTAAATCTGCAGGGATTTGGGAACTTTGTAGATATGTAGATACATTTGTAGAACTTCTGAAGAACACACAGAACTGCAAAGAAATCTGCAGAACTACCGAGAAATTTGCAGATCTTCAGGAAAGTTTGTTGATCTTTAAAGATATTTTACCAGAGAACAGAAAACAAATCAGGGACGTCCGAAGGTCTTCAGAGAAATATGCAGAATTGAGTTCATAATAGAAATTTTCCGAACTCAAGGAATCATTTAGATCTATAGAGAACTTTTCCCACTGGCTTGTCGAAAGTTGGAATCGACATCTGGCGAATTTTTGAAATCTGATTTTCGTCACCAAATCGCAGTTCTTGTTCCTCCTGAGCAACCATTTCCTACTCCACAAAGTTCACCTTCTCTTTCTCATTTCATTTAAAATACACCTGTCGAAGCTGGAGAAATTTGAAGGATCGTAGTGTGCTGTGCTCGAAGAAAGACATGGAAAATTTTCAGCCGTCAATTTTTGCTCCGTTTTTTCTCGACTTTTGTGAAGTTGTAATTAGATTTCGCTTATGCTCCGCTCCAGAAATTTGTGGCATCGCGAGTGATAGTTTTTAAGTTCAGTTTATTCATGCGTTGTATGATTTTATGAGCGGTCGCTTCGTGTTTGCGTCAAGGAACAATTGACTATATTAAACCTGAGGATTGATCCCCGTAAGGCGGGTCTATGATCGGAACTACTACACCAAACGTGACAGAGCTGCTTGCAAAGGATTCACTTGGACTGATTTGGTGAGATTGTTCCTTTTTTTACTTTTATCTATCTAAACTTAATTTTTATGAATCCGTAGCATTTGGAATCATTTGATTCGGATGATACTTAACTTTCATCCTATGGATTTTAGACATCCTATTTTTTTAGGAGACATTCTACTAAATACGTGCCATCTACAAAGCAGGAATTGCTTTGATGATGGAAGTGTACACGCAGTACCAATATACATTTTATATCGGTACTACGTGTATGCGGGGCGTGTTGTAAGTTCATGCATTGTTTCTTCTCATTGTAGACAGCGAATAACGAATAGCGAGCAAGGGCGCTATAACCTAGGCGAATACAGCATTCCCTCCGTATAGGTTACGTCCGCACACCGCTCTCTGTTGTCCTTCGACTGAGGTCGGCTGGATCGATTGAGGGATGGCAGTGGGTGGGCGGTGCCGTCCACGCTTGTACGGAGGGAGGACTGTACGCTCGAACACAAGGGGTAAATACCTGTGTTCCATCCCAGGAGATCGGACAACCAAGGAGTGTACATTAACTTTCTTAGCTCTGTCACTCCCAACGATTTATATAGCCTATTTTCAAATCCTGCATACGGAGCGGTTGGTACCGTATGTCCCCGCTCTTTGATTACCTGTGGATTAAATGTTAACCACTGTCTATACTTATTAAGTAGACATGGTAAACATTCACTTCCACAAAAATTAACTAAACGCTACACAGTAGGCCTGGCCGCTTTATTGTTTGTTTCACATCCTTGATGTGCAGCAGGCAATAATAATGACAAGAAAAATGATAGATGTATTTCTATCATTTTCCAGGATTCTTTCAAGTACTGGCTGTGTATGTGTAGACTAGACTAGACCTGTCGAAGCTGGAGAAATTTTCCGGTAATTCATTGTGGAAGTATTTGCTTTTGAGTCCTGATACAGTTTTGTTTTGAAATCTAAATTGACAGTTCTTTCGACATCTGAATGCCCAAGAATTAGTGCAGAACTTTGAGGCAGTAACCTCATAGTTCTGCACTAATACTTTGGCATTCAGAGAAGTCTAGAAAAATAATCCATTTGGTTGCTGGTTGTCATGATTTTCAGAAAAAAAAATATATATAGGCATTTCTATTTGCCACTACTGTTCGACCCGAGAGTAATAGAAAAACAATACATTTTTTTTTTCCTTTGGTTTATTTTTTCCGTCGATCTTGTTTTCCGTGCTGAGCACCAATGCTACCGACGTGCCAGGAAGGCAGCTCCCACACCTGGACCCTACTTATCCGACTCATCAACTCATGAACCGGGGACCAATGGTTTTACTTCCCATCCGAAGGAAGGCGTGATCAGAGATGTTATGCCTCAGAACATCCCGGCGGCGCCGACTGGGATTGAACCCAGGCCTGCTGGGGTGAGAGGTAATCACGCTTACCACTACACCACCGGCGCCGTTAAAAAAAACAATACATTGTCATCGTATAGCCATATCCCATCCAGTTTTGGATATGGCATTTTTACCTTATTTCCCTTCAAAGCAAAGTTCTTAGATTTCGCTTTGATTTCATGCTGTGAATGAATTCAATTGATTAACAAACGATTTGTTTCAAGACATTAATAAAATAATTCTGATTATCCTCCTCCTCTGACACATAATGTTTATGCACACTGTGGTTTGCATTTGTTAATGAATATAGGGCCAGACTACTTTGATCATTGTTGAGTAATTCAAGACCAACAATTGAAAAGGCCTCACTCCATTTTGTAAACAAACCTTGTAAGGCCATTTTCTCGCGTACCGAAGTCCGCCAAAGGAAACCAACATAATGAATCGGTAGAGGAATTCTCATCTACCCGATTGTGGTTTAGGTTTGCGAATGTAGGTTTCGGTTTGTGAGAAAATGGCCTTACAAGGTTTGTTTACAAAATGGAGTTGAGGCCATTTCAATTGTTGGTCTTGAATTATGAGTTACTCAAATTTACTCGGAGCAA